TGCAAATTTGTACTCTTCTCTGATTAGTTTTAATTCCACTGTCTTGCTCACTGTAGTTTTACAGGAAGTTTGAAGTTGGGTAGCATCAGTCCTCCGACTCTGCTCCCCTCCTTCAATGTTCTGTGTATGTGTGTGTGTAACACATACACATACATACACATGTACGTACATACATACCTTCTCAGGAGCAGAATTGCTGTGTTGTGGGGTGTGTATACTTACTTTGGCTGATTTGCTCTCAGGATGGCTGCCTGTCTACACTCCCTCCGTTAGTGCCTGGGCTATAGCCCAGAGCCCCACCAACATGCAGAATTATCTACCTTCCAAACCAAGTCCATTGAATAGATGCCAAGTCCTATCTCATATTTCTTTTTTATTTTATTTTATTTATTTATTTGACAGAGATCACAAGTAGGCAGAGGCAGGCAGAGAAAGAGGAAGGGAAGCAGTCTCCCTGCTAAGACTGCTTCCCTTCCTCTCTCTCTGCCTGCTGAGCAGAGAGCCTGATGCGGGGCTCGATCCCAGGACTCTGGGATCACGACCTGAGCTGAAGGCAGAGCCTTTAACCCACTGAGCCATCCAGGTGCCCCTCATTTTTCTTTTAATTTTATTCTTCTGATTACCAGAGATTGATCGTTTCTTCATACGCTTACTAGCCTTTTGGGTTTCCTATTTTGTAAATTGCCATTTACATCCTTTATCTTTTATTAGGGTTCCTGTCTTTTTCTTGTTAATTTGCAAGAATTCTTTGTATACTCTAGATAACAGTCTTTTCTTGATTTTGAGCATGTAATTATCTTACCTCTACTGGAAATGTGTAGGGATAGTATTGATAGTATTATTCATTGAACAGATAATCTTATTTTCCCTATTATTTCCTTTTTTGTTCTTCAGAGGACCTAGTAATCTGCCTAGACAAATTAACGGGAGGCGGAGCCAGAGGAAGGGCCAGCTCCTTAACTCTTAGCCCAAGGCTCACTCCCTATGGTCTGCTCTCCTCAAGCCGGGAGCCCAGAGCAGCTGGAGAATCAGCTGTCACAGCCTGGGCCTAGCCTGGGCACAGACCTGGGCTGTATCATACAGTAGCCCCATGAGCCTACTGAGCCCTTGAAATGTGGCTAGTCAGAACTGAGATATGCAATATGTGTAAAATTTACACCCAGTTTCAAAGACTTGGTATGAAAGAGGTAAAATATCTCAACCATTTTTATTTTTATTTTTTCAAGATTTAATTTATTTACTTGAGAGAGAGGGCACACAAGTGAGAAAGCACAAGCAGGAGGAGAAACAGAGGGAGAAGCAGACTCCCTGCTGAGCAGGGAGCCTAACATGGGGCTCAATCCTAGAACCCTAAGATCATGACTCCAGCCGAAGGCAGCTGCCCATGCAACTGAGTCACCCAGGTGCCCCTCAACCATTTTTATACTCACTACATTGACATGAGAATACTTGGGATATGTTGGATTGAAGAAAATATGTCGTCGAAGTTAATAGCACCTACTTCACTCATTTGAATTTGGACAGTGGAAATTTTTAGGTTAAGTAGTAATAGTACAGGCAGTACAAGAATATGTCCAGATGTGTGGCTGTTTGGGACTGACAGAGGTTTGCGAAATACCACTGAACCTGCTTGGTAGGAATGGGAATGGGCTCAAATTAAGGAGAGGATTTATCCCAGGAGCATGAGTTCAGGTTCTTATGTGGTGCCTGGCTCTCAGTGGCAAGTGCTGGCAGTGACCTCTGTCTGGCATCTTCCTATTCTCAGCTCCAGGTCATAGGTGTGCCCATGTTCAGGAGAGAGACTGACAGGCCTGGCCCTGATGGGGACACGGGGGCCTGTTACTGGCTGCCACACGAAAATCAATGGTGAGAGGTGGGATGATTTGCTAAGGAACCAGGGTGACGGAGCACATCGGGCTGCGGAGGGTGCTGGACAGGAAAAAGCGGAAAATGTCCACTCCAAGGGTCCCTTAGCCTGTGAGTGACTCAATCCTCAATCCCAGTTCAACGCTTTTCTCCACGTGTAATAAGTCTTCCTAAAGACTTGAATGACTCCTGCATTTTCTGCCTCTCCAGACTCCACCTGCCCCGAGCTTGGTCCAGCAACTGTGCGCCAGAGGATAGCTGGGTTTGGGCGGTCACGGAGGTCAAACTGGGATGGGCTATCTGGTCATGCTCTCTGCTTTGTTTCCAGCGATCTTCAGGGCTTTGCTCAGAGTCCGGAAATTAGGGGGCCAAGAGGGCATCCGGGGAGCCCAGAGACCTAAGGATTTTGTTGTCAGAAACGGATCCCATCCAGGAGCAGTGGGCATGGACCACAGCGAGGGGGTCATCCAAGCCCCAGCCAGTACCACGGTGCCTCAGGAACTGCTGGAAGAAATGCTTTGGTTCTTCCGGGTAGAAGATGGTAGGTGATGCGGGATCAGGGGTGGGGCCTGGCTAAACCCCCCCGACATAGCTGCTTCCTCCAGTGAGGCTGCATATTTCCCCCTAAGGTGGGAACTGAGGCCGAGGGGTCTTAATTCCCACGGGGGTCTGGCCTAACCGCTCTCTCTTCTTCTCAGAGCGTGGTCATTCATTTTCGTCATTTATCGGATCACTCACAAATATTTATTAAGTTCCTTCGGTGCACCGGGAACTGTTCTCAGCAGTGGGGTTATTCTGCCCTCTGTGGAGCACACATTCCAGTGAGAGAGAAAATAAACAAGACAAACGACTAAAATGCATAGCATGTGGGTGATGAGCAACACAGAGAAAAATTAAGCACAGAAAGGGAATAGAAGGGTAGGTACCACGGTCAAGGAAGACCTCACTAAGAAGTTGACATTTGAATAGGGCTTGCAGATGAGCCCCGCAGATTATGTGGGGGAAGAACATTCCTGGTAAGGGGAACAGCCAATGCAAGAGCCCTGGGGCTGGATCCTGCCTCATTTTGGTATGGTGTGGACACGTCTCATTACCCAAATTCAGATTAGCCACTTTCTGTATTCTCTGTTGCCAGCTGTGGGACACAGTTTCACTCCCACCCCTTACTTGCCCACTCTCATTAGATTAGGGCTTCTGCAGAGCAGAAATTGTCCCTCCCTCTCCCCCTCCGCTTCACTGGAGGTCCCATAGGGCAGGGGCTAATCTTCATTAGTCTCTAAGGCACCTGGCCTACCACAGGGGATGACTGATGCCATGAGCTGAGTCTGAGCCCAAGCCCCAAACCTGAGTGGGCCTGAGGGGCACGCAGATTCTCCTCAAGGCTCTGTTTCGTGTGTCCTTCCCCAGACTCTCCTTGGAATTACTCCATCTTTGCACTGGTGGGTGTGGTGGGCGTGATAAGTTTCATCCTCCTGGGAAGGAGCATCCAGGCAAAGAGGTGAGGAGCTGGTCTGGGGGTGGTCTCTGGGGGGTGGGGATCTGCCCTCCCAAGGGAAATCTAGGGAGTGGTCATCTAGGGGTCTTGGCTAGCCACCCTTTGGGATAGTAAAATGCAGCCTTATAGAATCTACAGTTTGGTGGGGAAACTAGTTCAGAGTGATGGATGCTCAGTGTGGGACATAGTGTGTGGGAGCACAGTGGTGGGATCTGGGAACTTCAGGGCAAAGAGAGAGAGGGAGAGTGGGCTGTGGAGGCTTTCTAGCCTGAGGGACCAAAGGCACCAAGTTTGAGGTGCTGGAGAAGGGGGGCCAGCCCATATGGCTGCGGAATGTGATGTGGGGAGGAAAGGCAAGAGGAGGGAAGGACCCAGAATGTATGGGTCCTATGTGCCATTGCAAGGAATTTGGGTTCTAGCTCATGTACACTGGGGAGCCAGAGACTGGCTTTGCACAGGGACATGAAAGGTCTATTTTAGCAAGGTTAGTATAGATGTAGGATATAAAAGGAACCAAAGAGGTATAGCTTCTCAAAAGGTGATCTTGCCTTTCTTACCCTGTCAGGAAGCATCAGCCTCAGCAAGGTCAACTCAGGGACAAAGTGGCTGTCCATGGGAGCAGCAAACACTGAGCTGCTCCCCTGGTGGCCTGAGCAGGTCCTCTGGGCAGTCAGCCGTTACCACAGCTGGGTCCCTCCCCTATGGCCAGGAAGTCTAGGGGTATTTTGAGTAAAAGCACCTTCAGAGTGATGACACTTGGGGGAGTTACTGGAAGAAAGGCTGGGTCTTCAATGCCAGGTTAAGGACATGGGCAGTGGGGAGCCACTAAAGGTGCTTGAGCTGAGGAGTAATGTGTGTGCACCAGGGTTTTAGAAACACGATGGTGTGTGGGGCTGGTTTGGAAAAGCAAGCACCTAGAAGCAGGAAGATTGTCAGGAACTTCCTGAAATATTTTGTCCAGCGTTGAGGTGGATAAAGGTGGGGATGGGGTAAGAAGAACACAGAACCCAGAATCAGGAGACTTAAATCAGGTCCAAAGTATGTGAATCTTTGACCTCTCTGAACTCCATTTCACGTGTAAGGGGAGCAGGGGACGATAATAGTTAAGCTCATGGTGGCAATGAGGATTTGGTGAGATGATGCACGGGCGAGAATAAGCCATTTCTCTGCCAAAAAGAACACCAAACTATCGTGGCTTTCTCCCCTAACAGTTCCCAGAACTGCCTACAGGAGTTCCCCTCCCCCAAGTGCTAATCTACTTGGGAGACCTGGTCCTGCCCCCAACCCAGTACCCCCAGCACAGGGAACCCAGATTCAACAGTGTTTTCTCTCCTCCCAGAAATCAAAAGCTCCTGGGGAAAAACAAACCAGAAAAACATACTCCAGAAGTTCAAGACGTGGCTGAGGCTGAAACCAGAGGTGACAATAAGCTGAACACCCTAAGAGAGACTTTGCTCTCAGAAAATCACAATTTAGGCCAGGTGGAAATTGAGTTACAAGAGAGAGATGCGTCACTGGTTCTCCTTCCAGACCCACAAGAATCAGAGACCTAGTGAGATTTCAGAGCCCTGCCCCATGTCGTCAGCAGATAGATGAATGAACTGCAATCAAACTAATATTCTGTTAAGGGGTGGGGGGGACCTGCTTTTTATTAAAATGCTTCTGGAAGTAGGCATTTGGAATTGCATAGTTTGTTCAAACAGTGGTGTTCCAACACAAGCGGCTTGGAGCAAGAGTGTTAAATCCATAGCCAGCCTGTGGGTCTGGAAACCTGGCTAGGACTCCTCATGTGGTCTTGAGGGGTTCACAGCCTCCCTCTGACCTCAGCTTCTCCATCCACAGAATGGGGCTAAAGTCTGGGTTAGAGCTGTTGTTCTTAATCCAAGGTCCTAGAATTGCCAAGAGCAGGGTTCCGGGCTTAGAATCCCCTTCCCATCCTCTCCTCCTAGCAGAGCCCTCCCATTTACCTGCTTATCTCCTGGGTCCAGGAGAGATTTCCTTGGGGCCAGGGGCCCCAAGGTAAATAGAGTTAGAACACTATAGATCCTGTACTAATAATGGGATCCCAAGAGAGTGTCCCAATCCTGTGTCTGAGCCACAGTGTTTTTCTATCAGCTGTGGCGGTGACCCCAAATAATGTATGCAAAAAACCCCTGCTGTATGAACCTCAAATGCCTTAGCTTCTATCTTTCAAAAGTGAACTCTGAACATTCAGACCCCCTGTCAAAGTGTCCTGCTACTGGGTCCGGCTAGACCAGACTACAGATGGTGTACTGTGTTTCTACCTACAAGCCTGGGGCAGGCTGACAGTGCCAACTGGGAGTCTGATAACCCCAGTTGTAGGCTCCCGGGAGTCCTGGGTGCCGGTCACTAGAATGACTTCGTTCTGCAGCTCTGATCATTAGACTTCAGGAGGCTGGTTCTGAAGGTCTGTGGAGAGAGTCCTTCATTTAAGATGGGAAAATAAGGGGGTCCTGTCTCTGGGGAAAAACACACTGGAAGCTCCCTACCCCAAAGCCCCCAGTCCTCACTGAAAGGCAAAGTACTGGAAGTAGCCCTTCCTGGGAATTTTGGTTCCATAGCCTGTCGCATAGGATTATTTGAACTAGACTCTACTTGGATAAACTGTGAGGTTTGTTGCCTGGGGCTTCTGTGAAGTCAGAGGACTACAGCAGGGCCGGGCTCAAGCCACACCCCCACCAACCTGTAGCCGCTTTGCCCTTCCTGTCCACTAAGTGGTGCTAGGATCTCAGGGCTGCTCCTCCTGAGGCATGTTCTCAGGCCAACGCTGACGGACCATCCAGAACTGCACACTAGGGGCCACATCTGGCTGCAGCTGGAGCAGGAAGGGGTGATGGCACCATGATGGACACTGTAATTTCCTCCCACTTCAGGCTGACCCCAGGTCTCTGGGTTGTCTCAGGGGCTATTTCCCCTCGGGGGTCAGGAAATGCAGCGGTTACCATGGAAACCAAAGCCTGGAGTGAGGAAGAGCAGCATTCCTGCCTGTCTCTCCAGCTCACACAGTGAACTGGGTGTCCGGGACATTACTTGGTGCTGGAAGAGGGGTCAGCTGTCCACCAGAGGGCAAGGACTATTCTTCCGACAGAGGGAGAGGCGGTGGTGAGAAGCCAGCCCCTGTCATGCAGCCTCGCCCAGCTCCTGAGCCTGGGATCCTGACGGGTGCCCTCAGAAGATCTTGAAGCCCTTCAACAGGGTCAGGGTGGGCGCCTTGCGCTTGCTCTGGGCTCGGGATGACTTCACAGTGACCAGCTTGGCCTGGGCCACAGCAGGCATCTCCTTCAGACTGATGGTAGAAAGCGTGTTGAAGGTACAGCTGGCCAGCCCATGACGGGCGGTGACCGGGGCCTGGTGGGGCAGGGCCCTCTCCTCAGAGATGAAAAGGGGCCGGGCCAGGGAATGCTTCTCCAGCTCCCGCCGTGCCTCCCGCACGGCCTCGTGGAAGACATGCTGCACGTGCTCAAAGTCCAGACAGGCTGAGACCTCGAAAAACAGGCACCCGAACTTGCCTGCCAAGGCTGCGCCCTCTGCCTTGGTGACCTGCCTGGTGAGGGAAGCAGGGCGAGGCAGGGTCAGGAGCACACATCCAAGTTGGGCCGGCCCACATCTACACTCATCTCCCCACTCACGGGCTTGGGGACCTGCAGGCATCTCATCAGTACAATGTGATAATGACATCTGCTTCGCATGGTTGCCAAAAGAATTAAGAAAGACCACTTGTATTGTGTGCCCGGTGGAGTACCTGGCGCAGAGTCCGGGCTCAGTAAATGATGGCTGATGTCACTGAAGCCAGAATTCAGGACCAAAGCGTGGGCAAGGGAGCAGCTTACTGGCTAAACCCTGCTTGTGGCTGGAAGAAGATGGTCATTCCCAGCCCTGCCTCCCTCTAGGCCAGCATAGGTCCTCGGTCTAGAAATAAGCCACCCTCCACCCTGGTCTGTGGGATCAGCTCCAGAGAAAGGCAGGGATCTGGACAGAAAGGTGTGAGACCCCAGAGAAGGGAGGGTGAGGTGCCTCAGGATGCCTGTGGTTGGTAGAGCTCTCAGGACTCATGCAGAAAGTGTTGCTGCTTGTCCAGGGGAGGTGCAGAGGAGAGCAAGGGTGACATTTCATCGGAAAGAGGGAAAGAAGGGGAGAGGGAACAACACCTATTGTCAGCTTTGTCCTATACTGTCTTTCCTGACAGAATTGACTATTTAACTGGGGAGGTCCTGGAAGTTTCTGGCCTGAAAGCCATGGGGATCAAGGTGAGAGGAAAAAGACTGGCTCTTGGGTCATTCAGATGTCCAGAAGAAAGAAGGGATGATGGTACCCGAGGTCTTGAGGCCAAGGTTCCATTGGCTGAATCTCGGCGACCACCCTGCCCTGCTGATTGCCCTGCCGGCCATTCCTACAGACAGTGGCACAGCCCCTGAGACTGGTGGGTATTGATGGGAAGAGGTTTTTGGCCCAAGGCTAATTTGGCAAGATCAGGGGGCTGGGAGTGGGCTAGCTTCCCCAAGGGAGTATCAGACGGGAGAGTGACTGGGCCAAAAAGGGCCAGGGGCAGAACATCTGGACTCCCCGCCCAGGGCTGGTGTCCTGTTTGTAAGCTCACTGCTTCCTGAGGAACCCCTTTTGAAGGAATACTTCATATTATTTGCTTTTATGATGAGCTTTAGTCTAAAAATTTCTCACTGTGGGGACTTGAATCCTAAGTTTCCAGAAACTAGCACCCTATGCACGCATACATGTCTGTGAATGGGAGACACGGGCACATCACATGATCCTTTCTTGTGCAGCAGCCTGCTGACGATTTATCGGCGGCTTGGGAACCACTGCTCTAATCCACGATTTAGCATGTGGCTGCATGGCAATCATGAGAGCACAGTGATCTCAGCTACAAGACTGACCACATCAAATCCTGACCCACCACCAGCCTGGATCAAAGAAGGAAAAGAGGGAAAACTGCCACAACTCTCCTTAGGGAATGAAGCTGCTCTGTCTGAGCCCCATAGTCATTGTTATTTGCTCCCCAACCATCTTTGGACAATCCCTGTGGCAAAGACTGGGATCAAAACAGCAGTCTAGTGTCCCCCTTCATCCTGAAGATAGATTTACCACCATCTAGTCTTCTGACCCCTCTTCCAGGCATCATGGGTTCTAGGATTCCTCAAAAGCCACCTTTGGCTTTAAGATGACACAACTTCCTTCATTCCCTGAGATGGAATTTGTCTTGGTCTGAGGGCTTGATGGCTTTTGAAGCTTCCTATAGAGGCCTCTCTTCATGGGATTGCACATCCCTTTCCCACTGTCCATCTGATTTGTTCTGCACGGAAGATCCTCTCATGCCTTATCCCAGTCAGCGGGCCTTTAGGGTCTGGGGAAGCAGGAGTGACTGGCCATGAGCAGGGAGGGACAGATGGAAGATGGGTGGAAGGTCACAAAGGACAAAGGTCAGTTGTAGAGAAGGGCACAGGGATTACCCATCAGGTGGAAGCGTCATGCTTTCAGGAGCCAGGCAAGCAACTGGAATGTATGGAGAGAATGGAGGAAAGCCATGGGGAGTGGTAAGGCCTATGGTCAGCTGCAAAGAGCATATCCCTCCTCAAAGCATTCCAGTTCCAGGTCTTTTAAAAACACTGCTTGCCAAGCAAAATGCTGCGGCATTTGCTGGTAATCTGTCCTCTGGCCCAGTCTGTGACCTCTGGTTCAAGTCCAGTCCATTCAAAGAAAAGCTGCCCTCAGCACCGCCAATGGTGGGAGTGAGCCTGGCGCCACACTTGGGTGAGGCGAGAGCTGGTTGGACCAGAGCAGACCCCTGACTCTAGGAGCCAATCACAGCCTTTCTTTTCAGAACTGGAACCGGGCACCGAATAATAACCAGCCAGCTATGGGGAATGAGGATGGAAGGTCATATAGACAGGCAAGAAAGGGTGAGGCCGAGAGACACCACAAAGCCCCATGAGGACGGAAGGAGTGGCTTCTCTTTTGACTTTTAGGGTCCAACCCCCTGTGTGGGCCAGAAGCTCTTTCTTCCTGCCCTGACCTGCCTGGAAGGCCACGCACACTGTACACTTTAACCTAAAGTTGTGGGGATAACTTTCCTTAGCAGCCCAATACCCCTGATGACAACACACAGCCTTTCCAAATGAGGACAGTGAGCCCCAGAGTTGAGGACACATGGTCCATGCTCACCTATACTGGGCCATGTCCAGCTTGTTGCCCAGCAGCAGGGCTGGGGAGCTGCGTTGGGTCTCCTTGGCGTGCAGAGCAAGCAGCTCCAGGTAGCTGCTGCTGTCCTCGAAACTCTGGCGGCTGTCCATGCTGTATACCACCAGGAAGGCGTGGGCCCAGTTCAGGTAGCGCTCACAGTTTCTGGGGGTGTCCTGGGGCAAAGGAGGGAAGCCTTGCTGGGGATGAAGGCCTTCACCTGAGCTCCTCCTTCCCACCTCCCCATTCCCTCCGTTGTCTTTGTATATTGTTCCCCAGCCAAGCCCTTTTCAAAGGGGTGCTTGAGTGTGGATTTGGCTTGGTGTGAAAGGAGGCATTGTCTCGGGAGCCTCACTCCCACCACCCAGCCAGAGGCTCGGGGACCTTGGCTTCTGGGGCACAGAGCCAAGACTCTAGCATGGCTGCTGCAGAGACCCAGCTGTCCCTGGGACTGCTGGTTTGGGGTCAGGTTGATGGTGACCCTGGGCCTCTGGGAATAATTGGTATCTAGCCCTGGTAGGGGGTGGTGAGAACATAGAGGGAATGTGTGTACTGAGGGGGCCTGGGCCGAGGGGGCCACAGTATAAACATGTGTGCCCTACCTCCAGGTGTGCATGAGCATCGAGTCCCCGAGCACAGGATCTCAGAGCTGACACCAGCAACCACAGGTCTCCCCAACCCCATTTCATCTCTTTCCACTCGGCAAATGAAAAGATTCAGGCCTGGAAAGGTCAGTGCCTCATTCAGGGTCACATAGCAAACTAGAGATTAAGTTTACGAATTCCCATCTGAGGCCTCCACTCTGGGAGAAGGACTTCTCAGGAGGCCGCACTGACTCTCAGCTCTCCATACCCTGGAGAGTAACATACCCTGTTACCCGCAGGGGTAATTTACCGGGTCTGCAGTATCCATGACCCTCAGGTGGACAGGCTGGTGGTCTACTGTCTCCTCGGAGCTGTAGGTGTCCTCTGCAACAGACGGTGAGCCAGGTCAGGGGCAGGCCAAGCCACTCAGTCGCAGACTGGGTCTGAGTCCCAGCCACCCTGTGCTAGACCCTGGGGGATCTATTCCAGGGCTGGCTGAGTTAGGACAAACTAGAAAGGCCTTGGCTCTCACCCAAATGGAGGACACAGACAGAACCTCCTAGCCAGGAGATGCTGCTCTATCTGTCAGGGCTCAGAGCATGAGAGGTCAGTCATAGAGCACGCCACAGGGGATAGCATTGCGTTCAGGTCCACCCACCAAGCCTACAGGACGGAGTGTGTGGCCCACGGGCTTGGTTAGCAGCAGAGCCCTCTGCGGTTGCACTGCCAGCCCATCCCTCCCAAACAACAAGCCTCCCACCCTCTTCCCTCTGGCCACGGCCCACAGGAAGCCCCCAGTGGGAGAAAGGAGGGGAAAGAAAAGCATATGACATATGGTGGTGGTGGTAGTGGTGGTGTGTGTGTGCGTGACTCTATTCAGAAGTCCCTGAGAAGGGTTACAAATAATCCTTATCAAGTAATAGCAGAGGACTCTAGTGTAGTCGAATATTTTATGTTGGACATGTGGAGTCACACCCAAGCTCAGATACCTTTTAGCTATGTGACTTGGCCAAGTCATGGCAGTTCTTTGAGAATCTGTTTCCTCACTTTACAGTGGGGTAACTTGGGGCACCTGGGTGGCTCAGTTGGTCGAGCATCTGACTCTTGATTTCGGCTCAGGTCATGATCTCAGGATCCTGGGATCGAGCCCCACTTCGGGCTCCATGTCCCTCTCCGTCTGCTCCTGCCAACAGCTCTCTCTTTCAAATAAATAAAATCTCTTAAAAAAAAAAAAAGTAAAATGGGGGTAACATGATAACACTGACTAAAAGTTTTCCAGAGTTTACTCTGTGCCAGGCATTGTGCCAGTGCTTGTCTACGCACCCTCAGAGGGCTATGCGAGGACTGGATGGGCCGTTAGGAACGGGGCCTGGCACACCATAAATGCCTAGTCAAGGACAGTGGGGACTGTGGTACTCCTGAGTTTACAGGGCAGGTTCACATTCCTAGGTGATTTTTTTTTTCTTTTAAATAATTTTAGACTTATGTGGAAATTGCAAAATAGTACAGAGAGTTCCTGTGTGCCTTTCCCACTGCTCCCAGCAATGTTAACACCTTACATAACCATAGTACAGTGATCAGAAATTGACATTGGTACCATACTATGAACTAAACCACTGACCTTATTTGGTTTTCATGAGTTTTTGCTTTTTTGGGGGGGGTTCTCATGACCTCAAACCTGAGAAAGTGCAACTGGCCAGGCGTGCAAAGAGGACCTCATTGTCACATTGGCCATCATTCTCCCTATCTCTAACCTTCCTCTATGCCACTGGCCCATGTGTGTGAGTGCACCTTGCTGTCACCTTTCTCTGGATGCCCTTGTGCCCCAAGTGACCCCAAAGAAGACCTCTATGGGCAGAACTAGGGCCCTCTCCACCTTCCTCCACCCCACCCGAACCCTGGCTGAGTTCACAGCCACTTGTCTCTGAGAGTCCCTGGCAGTCAAGCCAGGCCTGGACACACGCCAGGTCCACTAGCAGCCAGCAGGAATCACAGACAGCTCCCATCCCCAGCCTGTTTGGGGACTTGGATAAATAGCTGCTCTTATTCGAAGATTAAAAAAAAAAAATCTAATGGAAAATATGCCCCAAACGTTTAACTATATTTGGTGCAAGAAGAGCTGCTCCTAGATGCCTACATCTTGTTCAGATTTTTATTTTCCTGCCAAAGTTGCCTAATTCCCCCCTTTTAGTTGCTCCACACCCCCCCCACCCCAAAACAGGCACTGTGTCCTTCCCAGTCCAAGGAAAAACATTAGCCCAGTGTTGGTCTCCTGGGGTTCCTCACAGCAAATAGCCTTTCAAGGTTACTGTTAGCTCCACTGTAGAGAGAGGAAGCCCAGAGGAGGAGGGAACTTGCCCACTGCCATGAAGCACCCCATCAGTGGAAGGAAAGTGAATTCAAGTCTTCTAGGCTGGGCTGCCTCCCTGTGGGGACCCCCTCACCCTCTGCTCAGGGGACCAGCTGATCCTCTAGCTCTATCTGGGCAGACTACAGGGGAAGAGCAGAAGCTCCCAGTCCAGATGTGGCACACGCAGGAGTGAGCAGGGGAAGCCTCGGAGATCATCTTATCCAGCTTCCTCCTCCTTAGCAAGCGAGGTGACTGGAGGTGGAGGGTCCTTTCCAAGTTACAGTAACTTGTCCTCTCATCACCAAGTCCTGCTCTCCAGAGCATTCTGGGGTCCACATGGGCTTCACAACTCCTCCTTCTAAATAATATTCTGAGGACTTCCATGCTGAGAGAAGTTTCTTTTCCCAAACTTTTCCCCTGATTACCCAATAATAATCTTTTAAAGGTACTAAAGGCACTCTTGTCAGTGTGTGTAGGATGATGCCTCGGAAACGGTGTCCATATCCTTGCTGGAGCAGGATGAGGGCAAGAGAGGTGAGAAGCTGTCATTCTGCCCTGGGCAAGCCAGGCAAGGTGCCCCAGCTCCTGAAAGGAAGCTCTCCGGGGGACCCCTGCCCCTTCCTGGAGCACTCAGCACAGGCATAGCCTTTCCATAGACACTGATTCTCTCAGCTCCGACCAGCTCTCCCAGCCACGACCCTGACTCAGATGCAGCACAGGCTATTGGCCCCATCTTCCAGATGGGGAAACTGAGGCTCAGAGAGCCCAGTACCACACACCTCTGATTCCAGGCCCTCTAGGGCATTATGCTGCCCTTATGGGAAAGCTGCTGGAGTGGGACCCATCTTCCTTTGTACTGAGGCAAATCACTGAGCCCTCTCTGCCTCAATATCTTTACCTATAAAATGGCGATAATAGTTGGAACTCTTCTTTAAAGGCTAATCCTAAAACCAAAATTCAATCTCATGTTTAAGAGCATCTATGTTGTGCCTAGTACTGTACTCCATGCTAGAAATGAGAATAAATAATGCAGGTCTCCATGCTCAAGAAGCTCACTCTAGGTTCAAAGAAGACCTCAGAAAAAAGAAGGAGCTGTTTTACATGTCCTGGTGGCTAACCCTTCCCTTGGATGCTCAGACCTTTCTCCATAGAAAGAAAGGTCCCGGTCCTGGGGTCCCCATATTGCTGTGGCCAGCCATAGGACAGTGGCTGGAATGTTCAGATGGTGGGGCAGAACTCCTAAGACATGGCACGGGCCTCCCAGAATGCTGAAGTTGAGGTTCTCGTCATCTCTCCAGCTGACAGGCTCTCAGGCCAGGGCGACTGACCGCTGTGGAGCTGCTCCCCACCCCTCTCACCCCCGGACAGTGTGACCACGCATTCCGCTCTCAGGTCAGAACTCCAAAATTACTCAATCAGGAAGCCCAAACCACCACTGTACTAGGCTCTTCTGGAGGGACCCTGAAAGAAGGGTAAGGAATGGGGGTAGGGAGGAAGACACTTAGAGTCAGGCTGCCAGAGAAAATACAGGATGACCAATTAAATCTGAATTTCAGAGAAACAGCTAATATTTCTTAGTATAAGTATTCCCCATCTGAGCTAGGTAGAATATGTGTTTTGAGGAACCATCCTTGGAAATCTCCATTTCCCCCTTCCCAGACACCCCTGCTTGTATGCCTTTCCTTTCCACCTCCTCCCTATCTTCCCTTCCTCCACTCCATCTGATTTCATGTTCTGGCCTCTCTCAACACCTCCCTTGGCTGGCACACAGTTACACCCTGTGTCCCACTCCCATGCTAATCAAATAGACTCAATAGCCCTGAGGTCCCTTCCTGCTCTGACACTGGGATTCAATATTCCAGCCTGAACTGAGGGCACCAACAGGCTCAGGGGCTCTTCCCTCCAGATGTCACAGTACCTTCCACAGAGGCATGCTGCGGCCAGTGCTGTCTGTACTGCTGCATTTCCAGTCTGTGCCCCATCGCCCTGCATTTCCTAGAAGGGCCCTCAAGGGTCCCACAAGTGCCTTATTTAATTCTTATGAATGGGAAAAACCATCCAAGACTGCAAACCCCCATTTTCAAAAGGTTAAGCATATCCAGACACACTATTTTTCTCAGGAACAGTTTGCAACAAACAAATGTTATAAATGTAAACTGAGGGAAAGAGGAAGGAGGGGCGCCTTCCTTCAGTTGGTTGGGCCTCTGGCTCTTGATTTCGGCTCAAGTCATGATCTCAGGGTCCTGGGATTGAGCCCCACTGGCTTCATGCTCAGCGGAGAGTCTGTTTCTCCCTCTGCCTTTCCCCCTGCTTGTTCGTTTTTTCTCTCTCTCAAATAAATAAAAATCTTAAAAAAAAATAAAAGAGAGAGAGGGAGGAAAAATGGACATGCATTGAGTGTTTACTGTGGATCAGATACTAGGATAAATCTTTTACATGTGTTCTTTCTTTAATCCTCACAGTAATTTTCTGAGACAGCTACCTTTATGCCCATTTTACAGATGAGGAACAGAAGCTCAGAGAGATTAGGTTATTGCTTCAAGGTTGCACAGCCAGTAAGTGGCAGAGCTAGGGTTTAAACTTAGCTCTGACTGACAACAGAGCATCCTTTTTTCCAATAGACCATGATATGTCTATAAAACTAGACAAGTTTTCTTGTGTGGTTCAAAAATGGGTCAGAAGCCAGTAACACTACAGAATTTCTCAAGTGTTTTGTCCAGCTTTTCTGAAAAAGTACATCGAGTGACCATTTTAAGGAATAATAATAGTTACAGACGTTCTGCTATTTTTTTTTTTTAAGTCTTACCATTCCTCATATTTTAGGGCAAATCAGCCTCTCTCAGTTCTCTTCATTAAGCCAGTTGTCTTGGGGTGGGCTATGGAAGGATGTCTTTCTGGCACTTAAACCATGTTGTTTCATGGGCTGAGTCATCCCGGTGGCTCCTCCCCTCTGCCCCCAGATGACAGATCCTGATCAAGCCGGGCCCACCACAGTGTAGTCATGTGTGTTGCAGGGATCCAAGTGGAACAACAGTAGGAGGAATGGGAAGGAGTGTTTTCTTACCCAAGTTGGGGTCATATTCGCTGATAAACCTCCTGGTCAGAAACTTCACAGTCAGAGCTGCGGGAAACAGAAAGAAGTTGGCTCAGTCCCCCCCCCACCGTGTCCGGCTGCTAGCCCCTGGCGGTTGTCCCTCTCGTTTAGGGAGGCCTTATCTAGCCTCTGTGACTCCTGGCTGACACTCAGCTCAGCTCTCTAGGGGAATGTGTCTGGGAGCTGAAGACTTGGTTGGAGAAGCTCAGCAGAAACGAGAAATATGAGGAACCATGCCCCTCCAATTGCATCCTGGCATTTTTTTTTTTTTTAAATGGCAAGAAAAGTCACGAGAGGCAAGCCTAAGGGGTATTTATAAAGACTCCAACTGGGGACACCTGGGTGGCTCAGTTGGTTAAGCATCTGCCATCAGCTCAGGTCATGATCCTGGGGTCCTGGGATCTAGCCCTGAGTCAGGCTCAATGGGGAGTCTGCATCTCCCTCTTCCTCTGCCCCTCCCCCCTGCTCATGCTCACTCTCGTTCTCTCTCAAATAAATAAATAAAATCTTTTAAAAAAGAAAAAGAGACTCAAACTGAGGGGTCCAGGACCCATGTTACCTTAGGGTCAGCCTGGTGAAACTCAAACTGAAGGCAGATATCTCCCACCCTGGTCAAGTCGTGAAGATTCTGGAATGGGGGGCATCTATTCTGGTTCTGGCTATAAGCCAAAGAGTAAAAGCTGAGTTGATCAGTCTGTGATCCCCGGGAGGAGTACGAACACTCACGTCCCAAGTAAACACCCTCCAGTCCTTGGTCCCCTATGTCTCAAGTCTTGGCTCTGTCTTGCACTTATGAAGAATGTAAAACTTAAAATGAGGTTCTGCCCGGGTGGAATTCATTAATAGGACTCTGATTTTGTTCAGAATTTAGCCACATAAAGCCCAGGGTCAGCCAATTATTATGCTGGACTCTTAAAAAGTAATGTGATATTTTTAAAAAAATCCTTATAATTCTTTCCCAGGATTCCGAACAGTGTCATTTTGCAAACTACTACCCAGGGAATACATACTTTAAAATTTAAATTCCTTCATACATGTAGTCACTGGCTAAACGATAATAATAACAGAGCTACAGACACAGTTTGATTTTCAAAAGGAAGAGGGCAAATCTTTTCTGTAGGAAAACATGATTCAGAGTCCCCTCTCTGAGTCAGGGGGCTGGTTTCAGAAATGGAGAGTAGGATCCCATGGAGTCTCAAAGAATACTCTGGGGAAGGAAACATAGCTAACAGCCCACGTCCGACAGTCACTAATGGCTGTAACTGTAACACAGCCCCAGGAGGAGCCCCTCTGCCCTCCTACCTTCAGCTGCCTGGGACTGTAAGTGGCAGCGGGGCAGGGCTGAACCCTTTCTCTGGGTCTCTGCCTGTGGTGACACCCTCCCCCCTACCCACCTGGGCTCAAGTGGTAACTGAAGATCTTGGTTCATCAATAACAAGTCCCAGCTGCCTGGGACCTAGGTCCAACGTGTTTCCAGAAAGTCAAGAGAGGTCTGACTTGAAACAAATACGTTTGATAAGAATGCACACTTTGTTCCATTCCAGGGAATTGGAGTGAGCCCCTCCCTGGAAAATCCCAGCAGCCAGTGACCTCTACCACCTTCTTTCATCCCTGGCCTAAACCGAGGAATAACAAGGCTGTGACTAAGCTCACAGGGGCCTGGGCTTGGGATTAGTGTCTAACAGGTCCCTTTGGTGCTAGTCCCCAGGGCTGATGGGGGCCACAGGGAGAGGAGATCGAAGGTGCAAAAGGGCAAGGGAGAGATGGGCTGAGGACCAGAAGACACAGAGACAGGCAGAGGGGACAGAGATACCTAGTGTCACAGACAGAGAAGGAAAGCAGGCGAGAAACCGAAGACAGATGAGAGATGGAAGAGCTGAGGACAAAGTAGAGAGAGCACCAAGCAACAAAGAAACTGAGGCAAAGAAGAAAATCACACTGTCTGACCCAACCCACCTGGGTGCAGAAAGCCCCCGAAGCCAGTGAGGGAGCCTGCCTGCAAGCAAGTCCACAACGTCCCCACCCATCCCTTCCCTTTGCCCCCCACCCCAACTCACCGGACTTGCCGGCCCCTCGACGTCCCAGAATGGCCAGATTGACCTCAAGTGGCGCGCTCTGCGGCCCGCTGCCCGCGCGCGGCTTCCCAAACACAGAGGACATGGTGAGGCTACTAAGAGGGACACGGGTAGTCAGTAGGAGAGCCCCGAGCAGCGTGCCCGCCCGTCGGGGCCCAGCAGAACGAATCGCGGGATCCCCTCGCGCTCGCGGGCTCGGCCCCGTCGATGTCCTCGCCCGGGGTTCCCGGCGTCGTCGAGCGCCAAGCGGGCTGCGTTTCCGCGGCCCGGCCCAGCCCGGCCAGGAGGAGGAGCCCGCTGAGGCCGGCGGGCGGGGCCGCCCGGAGAGCGGCAACACTCCTTGTAAGGGCTGCTGGAGCCCCCCGCGGGGCCTGCTCACCCCCCGCTCCCCACCCTGGGAGGGAGCTCCGGACCGGCCACGCACCCCACAGCTGGCTCCGCCTCGAGGGCCGGGCACTGTCACCTCCCGGAGCGCCCCGGACCCTGCAGGGAAGGACAAGGACCGGAGAGGTGGCCCTGGGTAGGGGGCTAGAGGGGAGGGATGTTTCCAGCCTTATCTGAGCCTCGGCTCAATCTCTTACCACCTCCAAGAAAATTCACTCCTTCCTTTGTTCTACCAAGCTGGCCCCGCCTCCTCCTCCTCCGAGAAGCCTTCCTGGTTCAACTCGCCCCTTTGGCCTTTCTCTAGGTCACAGTTACAACCAGCTCAGCCCTGGCACAACATTTCCCCCACCACATTACCCTGCTCTTCATTATGGGGACTCAGGGATCACTGCAACCCCCAGGCAGAACCCTGGCTCCTAGGAAGGAGCCTTAACCAGCATTTTATGGTCAGTATGGGTCCAGCTTCAAGAAACTTAACCCATCCTGGATTAGTTTTCTCATGCGAGCTAATGAGTTGCATGTGTTTGAAGCCTAGTGTGCAAATGGGGCATTTGATTCTAAAACCTGGTATTCTTTCTTGCGTATAATGATTCTAGGGTTGCTGGACAAGCCTGGGAGGGGTCACCTGTCATTTTTGGGGGGACCCAGGGTAAATCTGGTCATGATGGACTCAGAGCAAAGGGAAATCCAGACACTTAGGATCTAGTGCCAGCTCTTCACGAGGTGACCCTGGGCAAGTCACCTCACTTCTTTGAGCATTGGTGTCCCCATCTATAGTACTAAAGGAAGGGGAAAATAAATCCAAAATTCCATGATGTGATTCAGGCCTAACAGACAACACCAGGTCTGAGTACTTTCTAGAAGCCAGTGGAGCCTCTCTTTTGAAATATACTTCATGGCTAGAGTGGGGGTGGGTAGGACATGGGAGTCTCAGAGACCTCTTACTGCAGCCCTTCTCCCTCCAACGCCCCCCTCTCCAACTCTCCCTCCTTGCCCCAGTTAATCTACCCACCCACATGAAAAAGAAACCATGGAAAGCCAGATCAACAGGCAGAGTCTGGGGTCAGAGCCTCGTGGTACTAACTTCTCAACAGGAAGGAAAATTATTTTCCCCGCATAGGACTTGAATACTGACTCAGCCTAATTGTATTTGTAGGAGATAATGCTAAGCCAGCTGTGTTATTAAGACTGTAAAGTGTTGGGAAAAATCTGTTTGAATTACACCCTCAGGCCAGAATCACTCACAGAGCTAATCGCCAAGGATTTTCCTTTGAGTTGTAAATGGGAAAAAAGTGGCAGTCAAGTTCCAGCCACCTTTCTGGGCTGGCCCCAGTCTTGTTAGGACAGACTGGTTCTGAATGGGGTTTATTGGGAGAGAACCAATCACATCAGAGAACTCCTGGAGAGAGGGTAAGCTGTGGAGCTCTGTAGGCCCAACTGGGTATAAACTTGGGCTCTGTTAAAGCCCTGTTTGTGTGAGGCTAAGACCAGCCAGTAGATGGGCACTGCAAAGAGGTAGGTTCGAGCTTCATGTGAACCATCTGAGCTGTCCCTAGTTACAAGGGATTGTTTGTTAGAGGAAGTGAACCTTCCAACATTGAAGGCAACCAAGGAGGTGACCACTTCAAAGAGGTGTTGTAAGGAGACTCCATCATAACTTGCAGGATAGGAAGAGATGACCCTTAAATCTCATCTAGGTCAGAGATTTAAACTAGCTGCCAGCTGGTTACTCAGGCCCTTGGCCTTGACTGCTAAGTGCCCAAGGTCTTACCCTCTTATGACGCTTGGGAGGAAAACTGCCAGTCTCACAACTGCAACCAGTCCCTTTCCCCAACCTCTGTCTCCTCCTCTGGGCTGCTTATCCACCTGGAAGCGCCCACTGTGGACTGGAAAGACCTTTGGAATCAGCCACTTACTGTCAGACCATGGAATAAGTTACTTTGCTCTTCTGGGGCTCAGTTCCTCATCTTTAAAATAGGGGTAATATTAAGGGTTAGAAGAGATGATATGAAAGCGTCCCACCCAGAGTTTGGCCCATGGCCCAAAAAAGCAAAATGATAGTTTCCTCCACTCCCCCGGACATGAATAGCACATACTTCTCACCCACCAAGAAGCCACAATTGTTTAGCAACCAGTAGTTTGGACACTGAAAGTCAAGAGAGATTATTCTGCAAGAGCAAGTAGCCCAACCCTCCTTATCCCCTACCCCCAATCATCAAGGCTCTTATGAGGAGCCCTGAGGCATTCAAAATGAAGACGATGTGGCACCTGGCCCAGCAGTGAACTTGCAACAGGTGTTCAATAGGTGTCTCTGAAGTGAATGAGTGGGGCGTGTACAGGTCTGATTGGTGGGGCCTGTGATGATTTCCAGACGCCAGGTGGTCCTACCCTTGCCACCCACCCCCCAGGAGCCACTTCCACATAAAGCTAAGCTTTTGGGAGCCCTGTGTGATGTTGTCACTGTATTCCATTGTGTCGCTGTATTCCATTGTGGAGACACAATATGACAAGCCCTTCTGTGGCTGTTCAGTGATAAATTCAGGTGTCAGCACTAAACAGAACCTTAGATGTCAGATCCAAGCTCCACTTTATAGATGAAGAACTGAGGCCTGGAGAGGTTGGATGGCTTTTGCACATCAGTGGTAGTACCAGCATTAGAGCCAGGCAGGAATCCTGACTCCTGGTCCAGTGTTCTTCCTCAAACCCAGGCAAGCTCCTCACTACGCTGTGTGCAGAAACACTGCCATAGGTGGCAAGGCCAGGAGTCCACCATGAGGCTCGGGGCATCTAGGGGCTGTGTCTCCTTTATCAGACTACAGGCTCTTTTGGGACAGGGGTTGTGTCTCCTCTATCACACTGGAGACTCCCACTTAGGTTAGGGTCCAGGAGTCCACTTGACAGACCCCTCACTGTGTGCCAATCACTGTGGATAGAGAGATGAACAAAGCTGGGTATGTGCTCTAGAAAGGCTCAGAGTCTGACACAGACACAGTCTCCCTTTCCTTGCTCCCACCCTGAACATTGCTCAGTATGGGGGGTGCAAAGTGGTGAGAGGGAGGTTGGCGTGAGATTGGGCAGAGCCTGGGAACTCCGTGGGCTGCCCATAGCCAGGATAGTTCCTCATCCTCTCCAAGTCCCAGAGGGATGCTCACTGTCTGGGTAGAGGAAACTCACACCAGCTGCAGACAACACCCCACTGGGGCTTGGAAGCAGGGCCAAAGCGCTGGTCCTCTGCCCAGCCTTGGAACCATAAACCCCCACCTTCGCTGACCCCCTCCCCAGTGCTTGGCTACTGAGGGTCAGTGCTAGGTGTGTGCACAATGTCCCAACCCACTGAACCCACTTGTGAAAAACTGGCACTGGGAGACAGCTTCAGCCAGGAAGAGTTGCTCTCCTTCCACTCCTCTGAGGAGAGGGCCAGGCACTGGTTCTATTTGTTGTGTTTTCCAGGTACCAGGTGCCTGAAGCAGCCCATTTGGGAGAAAACTCTCTCCCCAGGGATCAGCCCCTCCCCAACCCTGTTCCTTAGCTTGGGCCTGGCAGGAGGCACTTGTTTCCCTGCCCTAAGAAAAGGCTAGTACTGGGCTGGGGACTGGGAAGCAGACAGGGTTCAATCCAGTCCCACATCTTCATTCATAACAAGAAAAAGCCCATGCCATCTGTGGGCCTCTCTTTTCCTCATCTGTGAAATGGGAACAGTCAGACACCTTCTCCCTATGCCCCTGGGCCCACCAGCAAGGACAGAATCAGGACTGGGCACTGCAGAGTCCACTTTCCTCCAAGAGAGGGACTGTCATGCTTTTGGCCAGTGTTTGGCCTCAGGGAAGAAGAGAGGCTGGCAGAGGGCCTGGGATAGTATTTGTGAGGACTCCTGCCCACCCCCTCTATCTCCTCCTACTCTTCCTGTCTAGTCCCTGGGGCAGAGTGTCCTGGATATTTCTGGCTGCCTCCTCCAGGCGTTGGCTTCCCAGGCTCACAGAAGTGGTCCCCATATCCCAGCCCTGCTTTGATGGAGTGAACTGGGTGGGAGTTCCTGTCAGAAGAGGCAAATTTGTGTCAGGTCTGCAGATTCATACGTGAGGATCCGTGCATGTGTGTTTGTGCCCTAGTGGTGAGAAAAGTTCCCCTGCTGCTTCCCAACTCTGGCTCTGTCATTGTAAGCCACTCCATCCTCCTCAAGAAAGTCTGTAGTTGAACATGATGTCCTGAATGGCAGATACCATCCTACACAGGTCTGGGCCTCAGTTTCCCCCCCTGTAGAATAAGGTGACAGGTAAAAATAATCACTAAGCTCTGTTCCACCTGACATTTTGGAACCCAAAGTCTTAGTTGGTCACTCAGGAAAGTTCTCTATAATAGGGAAAATACCGTGGGGTGAGGAGCAGGAGGCCTGGGGCTGTCTGTCCCAAGCTATGTGACTCTGGGCAATTCCTTTTTTGGTCCTCTACTGTAAATGAAGGGGTAAAACCATATGAACCTGAAGTTCCTTCCAGTTGTGACCTCCTGGCAAGAGGTAAATAGCCAGCATTTGTAGCACAGACAGGATGCAGAGTACAGTGGTTAGGGCCACATGCTCTACAGTGAGACGGCTACAAGCCAGTCTTGGCTCTGCCACTCTCTGGCCATGTGACCTTGGGCATGTGACTAAACTCCTGGTGCCTTCCTTAGTCTTTTCATCCATGGAAACTCATAGTGTTTCTGTAAGCAATACATGGGTAACCATCTAGTAAATGAGGAAAAAATGACAGTATCTACTCATAGGCTTATTCCAAGGACCATAGAAGTAGAAGTGCTTACAAAAGTGCCTGACACAATGCAAGTTCAGTGTTAACTATTATTATTTCAAGAAACCCTTCCCCTTCCCATCTATAGACATGCCCCACTGACCCTTACCCAAGGTCCAGAGCTACACAGCAATGGATGGATGAGTGGGGAGTAGACATCAGCTTCTCATTCCCAAACGAAGTCAAGGAGTACTTTCACATGGAGAGAGTTATTGGACGTTGACGGGCTATGCTCCCAAGAAATCAAGGCTGAAAAGGAGATTAAACTAGCTCAGAGTCAAGGGCAGAGGTTCAAGCCAAATTAGAACCTGTCCCATAGGGCGCCTGGGTGGCTCAACTGGTTAAAGGCAGACTCTTGATTTTGGCTCCTGCAGGTCCTGATTTCAGGGTCATGAGATTAAGTCCCCCACTGGGCTCCGACCTCGGCGCCAGTCGGCATGAGTTGCCATTCCCCTATGCTCACGTACACTCTTTCTCTCTTAAATAAATAAACAAACAAACAAACAAACAAACAAAATCTTTAGAAACTGCTCCAGACCCAGCCTGGTCCACTCTATCTTGCTCTACCTCTCCCTCTCCCGCCCAGGGCCCAAGTATCTCCCCTCCACCACCTCCACGAACCAGTGGGGTGGGCCAGGTATGAATCCTGTCCTTGCTTCTTCGCAGTTGAATGACCTTAGGCAAGTCATGTAATTTCTCTGAACCTCATTTCAAACACTTTGATGGATATTGCCTCAATACCATGAAAGGGGTGTTATTGTTGGTCACATTCTGAGGAGACAAGGTCAGAGTTAGGATTCTTGCACAAGCACACACAGCCGCTTTAGTGTAGGTTAAATGGGGAAATCTTTGCAAGTGGCCCTCACAGTGCCCCGCATGCAATCGGTATTCAATACGCGGTCACTACTGTTCCTATTTCCCGTACGGAAGTGAGTGACCCTGCACGTCTCCCGATGCCCGCGGGCCCACTGCCATCCAGCTTGCCGGCCACGGCATCACATGAGCCGTACTATCTTTAGCCAGGGAGATATTTATATCCCCTGGGAAGTTTCTTCCACTCCGGGGGGAGCCCCAGAGTCTGTGGCCGCTAAATCCAAGCCCCCCGGCGGCGGCCCTCGCCCGTCCGGCTCGCCATGCCACGGGCCCCAGAGGCCCCCACGGTGCAGGTGCAGGTGCGGGTGCGGGTGGACGACCAGCTCTTCCAGGCCGAGCGGGCCCTGCTGGTGGAGCACTGCGGCTTCTTCCGCGGTCTCTTCCGCTCCGGCATGCTGGAGACGCGCGCGGCCGAGGTGCGCCTGGGCGCGCTGAGCGCCGCCGGCTTCCACACCACGCTGCAGGTGCTGCGCGGCGAGCGGCCGGCGCTGGTGGCCGACGAGGAGCTGCTGCAGGCCGTGGAGTGCGCCGCCTTTCTGCAGGCGCCGGCGCTGGCGCGCTTCCTCGAGTACAGCCTCACGTCGGACAACTGCGCGCTGCTGTGCGACGCGGCCGCAGTCTTCGGCCTGCAGGACGTGTTCCACAGCGCCGCGCTCTTCATCCGCGATGGCGGGCGCGAGCTGGCGGCCGAGCTGGCGTTGCCCGAGGCCCGCGCCTACGTGGCGGCGCTGCGTCCCAGCAGCTACGTGGCCGTGAGCACGCACACGCCGGCGCCGGGCTTCCTGGAGGACGCGTCCCGCACGGTGTGCTACCTGGACGAGGAGGAGGACGCGTGGCGCACGCTGGCCGCGCTGCCCCTGGAGGCCAGCACACTGCTGGCGGGCGTAGCCACGCTGGGCAACAAGCTGTACATCGTGGGCGGCGTGCGGGGTGCCAGCAAGGAGGTGGTGGAGCTGGGCTTCTGCTATGACCCCGAGGGAGGCACGTGGCGCGAGTTTCCCAGCCCGCACCAGCCGCGCTATGACATGGCGCTGGCCGGCTTCGACGGCCGTCTCTATGCCATCGGTGGCGAGTTCCAGAGGACGCCCATGAGCTCTGTGGAGAGCTATGACCCAGCCGTGGGCTGCTGGAGCTTCGTGGCCGACCTGCCCCAGCCAGCTGCGGGAGTGCCCTGCGCCCAGGCGCGTGGCCGCCTCTTCGTGTGTCTGTGGCGGCCAGCCGACACCACAGCTGTGGTGGAGTACGCTGTGAAGGCAGACACGTGGCTGCCAGTGGCCGAGCTGCGGCGTCCGCAGAGCTACGGTCACTGCATGGTGGCCCACCGCGACAGCCTCTACGTGGTGCGCAACGGACCTAAAGACGACTTCCTCCACTGCGCCATCGACTGCCTCAACTTGGCTACGGGCCAGTGGACCGCACTGCCTGGCCAGTTTGTCAACAGCAAGGGAGCGCTCTTCACTGCAGTGGTGCGCGGCGACACAGTCTATACGGTCAATCGCATGTTTACATTGCTCTATGCCATCGAGGGTGGCACCTGGAGGCTGCTCAGGGAGAAGGCCGGCTTCCCACGGCCGGGGTCCTTGCAGACCTTCCTCCTTAGGCTTCCTCCTGGCACTCCGGGGCCTGTGGCCCCAACAACACCAGAACTGTGATCCTGAGTTGGCCTTTAGGAGGGGATATCCCGAGTCTTCGCTGAGCCATGGCTGAGTCTATAAGGCTGGCCTTTGAAGATCCTTGGAACTTCTGTCTCCCTGGTTGAGACATGCAGGTCTTGGGCCTTGTGATGATATGAACATGCCCAAGAAATTCAGAGAGTAAATTCAGAGAGCCTTCAAATTACTTGGGCTCTGCTGAGAGAGGTGGTGGGTCACAATGCCAGTGGATTGGGTTGGGGGGTAGGATTTCAATAATCCAGGCTTGTGTCTGAATGGGCCAATAATTGAGCATTACTAGGAGTGAGTTAAGTGATGTTAATCAAACTGCCAGTCAGTTGGCAAGAATCAGGCACCTACTGTGTGTCTTGTACAGTGCTAGGCCTAAGGTCACTGTAGTTGCTAGAGGGATCTCCAAAGCCTAGAGTCTAGCTCAAGACCAAGGTTTGCACACACTTGTATTGATCCACTGAGGGCTAAAGTCAGTATGCAAACAAAAACAAAACAAAACCAAAACCTCACAGTGGAATAAAATAGTATTGAAGAAATCAGGACAAAGGGAAAATAGGGAAAGGAAAAATATTTAACTCCAGGAAGGAGTTAGGGTAAGAGAGGTAGGGTAATTAGCTGCTGCAGGGGGGAGGTTCAGATAGTGGAAATAGGGCTCAGAAGAGGAGATGAAGGAAAGCTGGAACAGATGGGAGGAGGCTCTGTGAGCACAGCCTTTAAGGCAGAACATCTGTGGATGGAGGCATTTGGGGAGGAGGCGAGGCTGGCATGGCTTGTAGAGACAATAACTGAGCTGAATCTGGGGTGACACCTATGAGAGAGAATGGGCTCCGCACACCCCCTCACAGGATGCGGACTGGCGGGGAGAAGTCAGTTGCAAGCCCTTGCCCACTCCCTTTTTTGCCGTCACCCTGTGGGCAGTGGATTATTAACTTCCGTGACTTTAGGTCACTCAAGGCAAGAGCCCAGTCCTGGCCAGGTCTAACGGCATCCTCCTCCTCATTCTGCAGGTTAATTGTCTCCTTCAAGTCTCTGCTCCCGCCATTCTCTGGGCCTGGAATGCCTTTCCTCTCCCCCCGCCCCCGCCACCCCTCTGTTGGCCCTGTACCTACCTCCTCTGTGCAGGGTTGGCTGTTCCCAATCTTGACCATCTGCATTGCTCATTGGACCTCTGAATGACTTCCTTCCGTATATGTGTGAAACCGTGCACGTGTGCAGATAATAAGGGCAGAGATCCCGTTGTCCTATCAACTGACCTGAAGACTTCCCCACCTACAGAATCAAATGATGAGGTCCTGAAAGAACCCAGGCCATAGAGGCTGTCCTACTTAGGGAACTGGTATTAGAGGAAGACTCTTGTCCCTCTTTTAGAATACTCCTGATTTCTGGTCACCTGCCTACCCGAGTCCTCAGCTTCTCCATGCCCTGAGTGCCCTAAATGGTCTCTATCCTCGAAGACCTGAGGCCTGTGGAAAATTCCAGCCTCATCAGAAGTATAGAATGTAACATCAGCACGGAGCCTAGTGTCAGGGCTGCCTGGAGCAGGCTTTGTCCCTGACCTATGTCCCAAGCCCTGCGGAATGCTGCCCTCAGAAACCTGGCATCTGCCAGCCCCGGAGTAGCCTAAATCACAACAATAAATCCTGACTTTGGCATCCTGTGAATAATGTGCAAAGTACTTTCACATCCGTCTTCCTGCTCCAACCCTACCTCAGTCCTGGGAGTTCGGTACCTTCTCTCAATGGCAGACACATGAGATACGTGAGGCCCAGAGGCCAAGCGATGCACCTAAAGCCACTGTCCCCATAGGGAAACATAACAGAGCCCCTCACTTTCTGATTCCATCACAGTATAATTGTTACCACGTGTCAAAGGTTTATTTAAGTTGTTAATAAAGGAACCAGAAGAATGGAAAACTGGTTCAAGAGGAACATTTGAGAGACAGAGATTTGTGTCTTTAGTTGGAAAAGACCTATTGAAATAAATTTGCTAAGATAAGAGGTGAAGCTTGTTAATTTCCAGGACAATAAAACCATAACTTTCGTGGTTCTGTACTGGACTAAAAACCTTTGCACCTCTGCATACACACACCTACCTATTATATATGCAGCTACAAGTGAGCGTGTAGCTTCACAAAGTCGGGACTCTAGTCAATAGTAAATTGTGAAACAGGGATTTAGTTTTTCCTGAGAGAATTCTTAGCTCTTCAACCCTACCCCACAACAACATTGAAAAGATATACAGTCCTTCCGTCTATGTCCAAGTTACGGATAATTTTTCATAACAGTTCAGAGCACGCTCTTCCGTGCTCACTCCTCCTGCCTAGTGCTCAGCCCTGAAATTTGCAATCTCGAGATCCATTGGCTCATCTGTTCTCGCGACCCATAGAGCTTTGTGCATGTCAGCTTTTGTAGCTGGCTGTGTGGACCTGCTCAGACATTGCCTGCTGGCTCCTGGGGCTGTGATATTTCTTGGTCCAGAGCAGCCTTTTCTGAGATGTCTTTTGTGCATAATAATAACACTGTTCAGGGGCGCCTGGGTGGCTCAGTGAGTTAAGCCTCTGCTTTCGGCTCAGGTCATGATCTCAGGGTCCTGGGATTGAGCCCTGAATTGGGCTCTCTGCTCAGTGAGGAGCCTGCTTCCTCCTCTCTCTCTGCCTGCCTCTCTGACTACTTGTGTCTGTCTGTCAAGTAAATAAATAAAATCTTTTAAAAAATAATAATAATAACACTGTTCACAGTGTGCTTTCCCACAGTTGACTTATTTAAGCTTTGTAAGAATTCTAAGTGCTAGGCAGCTTGGCAAAACCCCTACCCTTGAAGATTTAAAAAACCCAAACACCCAAAGGTCACACGATTGGAAGAGACACAACTAGGATGTAGCAGAGCCCCAGCCTTGAACCCAAGGCCACATGCTTATTTTCTGGGACTGCCTCCCTGCTTCACTGATATTTGGAGATGGACAGGGTGTTTCTGCCAGACTCCTTAACACTCCCTTCCCTGTTACCTTTCTTTCTGCACCATCTCTTCTTGTGGCTCACCTATTCCCCTAAACCCAACCCTCCCCCTCTCCCTGTGTTAGGAAAAATAGCTATCCTGAGTTCTCTTGCTTTAGGATCTAGCTGGGATTCTAATGGCTAGCTGCCTGAGGATGCTAATTACTTGTGAAGGCCCTGAGGGGGTTTTGCATTTTCACAGATTTCCCTCCCTCTCATGAAGTGTCAGGGAGGTTTTCATAATACAGCCCATATTCTCTGACCTTAGAGGTCAGACTCTGTTGTTCCTCTCACAGCCCACCACCCTTGGCAAGCATGGTCACCATGTCTGTTTATAGGTGAGAAACCAGCAGAAAGTTGAAATGAGTCACCCAAAGTCATGTAGCCAGTCAAGTGGAAGAGCAAGGACATGGAAACAAAACTTGGGATTCTCAGCCTCTCATATCCTGGCACCTAGACGTGACCACTGAGTGAAGGTATGGTTTGGGAGGCCAAACCACGTACGAGGCAGGTGCTGGGGAGGGGCGGGGGCAAATATAAAGAGACACTTAGGGGTTACTAAACCCAGAAGGCAGGGTTTAAAAATCTCTCCATCCCAGCCCACTGGCCCACTCTGAAAAGTCTATCCTTCCAGAGAGATGTAGACACACACACACACACACACACACACACACACACACACATTACTACAGCAAGGAGCATTTTCCTGAGCCTCCATGGCAGCCTTGTAGCCCAACTCTCTGGGCTCCCTCCAGTCCTCCACACAATTTCTCCTTGCCCCCTATTCTGGAAGCCTTGCACCCCAAGCTTCCCTCTTGTTGGAAACTATTCTGTTGTACTGTTGTTTTTTTTAAAGATTTTATTTATTTATTTGACAGACAGAGATCACAAGTAGGCAGAGAGTCTGGCAGAGAGAGAGATGGGGAAACAGGCTCCCCGGTGAGCAGAGAGCTCGATGTGGGGCTTGATCCCAGGACCCTGGGATCATGACCTGAGCTGAAGGCAGAGGCTTTAACCCACTGAGCCACCCAGGCGCCCCTCTGTTGTGGTTCTATAGCCTGCCTGACAGAGGCAGAAGGAGAAGCCAGAACTTCCCACATTCCACCCAGAGCCTACTTGCCTGCTTGCTTCCTTTCAGTCTGCTCATGTGGCAGCCAGAGCCATCCAATGAAGAGCCAGCCAGACCTCATCGCTTCTCCGTTCAGAGACTTGGGTCGTTCATTGCACTTGAGTGAAAGCCTCAGTCCTTTCGGGATCCCCTGCCCCATTTCCTCCCTCAGTTCATCTCTCACCACTCTCCTCCTGGGCTCATTGCTGTTCTTCAAACACACCATGCACACTACAACCTCAGGACCTTTGCACAGGTACCTGTGCCAGGCACACCTCCCTCACTTAGCCCCCTGGCTGACTGCCAGCCTCCTACAGGCCTTTGCTCAGATGTCACCTTCATTCTGAGGACTTTCCTAACCACCCCCCATCCTTTAAAATCTACCTTCCTCTTCTCTGCATTTCCTACTCCCTTATTTTCCTCTATAACATTTAGCATCAACTATCATGCTATACTTTTACTTCTTTAGTGTCTGTTTCCTCCTACTAAAACTTGAGCTCCATGAAGGAGAGATTTTTGTCTGTTCACCAGGACCCCGAACAGTGACTAGAACATAGTAGGTGCTAACTTTTTTTTTTTTTTTAAGATTTTACTTATTTGACACAGAGAAAGCAAAAGCAGGGTGGAGCAGCAGGCAGAGGGAGCGAGAGAAGCAGGCTTTTCCCTGAGCAGAGAGCCAGAGGAGGTGGGATTCCATCCCAGGACGCTGGGATCATGACCTGAGCCAAAGGTAGACACTTAATCAACTGAGCCACTCAGGCACCCCAGGGCTTAATTATTTAATGAGTGAATGGTGCTCAATGTATGTCAAAAGAAGGAATGAATGAATTGATCTATCAGAGGAAAAACTCATCGGGGCTGTCGGATTTCAGAGGAGTTTGGGCAGGGGGTGGGGCTGGGCAGGTGAATAGGGAAGACTTTCAGGGGGAGGTGATGAGCTGGGGGGTCCGTAGTACTTCCAGGGAAGAGTGGGATCTGAGAACAGCAGCTCACAGGTCACTTCTCCGCCTTCAGTAGAGGG